AGGCCTTCCTAAAGTCCAGAAAGATTACATCCACTGCTACCCCTGCATCGAAGGATTTTGTGGTGTGGTCATAGAAGGCCACCAGGTTGGTCTCACAGGACTTGCCTCTAATGAACCCATGTTGGTTGCCTCTTAGCATAGTCTCCCCTGCTGGCCCTTCATGGACATGCACCATGATAATTCTCAAAAAGCTTACCCAGGATCGAGGTAAGACTAACTGGCCTATGGTTTCCTGGGTTCTCCTTCTTCCCTTTTTTGAAAATGGGAACCACATTGGCCCTTTTCCCATCCTCTGGCACCACACCAGAGCACCATGGGTGCTCGTAAAGCCGTGCCAGGTGTTCTGCAATGACCTCTGCTAATTACCTCAGCACTATGGGGTGGTGATAGTCAAGACCAGCTGATTTAAATACATCCAGTCCCTCCAGAAGTTCACTGACTAGATCCGCCCTGACCCTAGGCCTGGGTGCACCTCCCCTGGGGCCTGCGGGGGTCCCGACTGATTTAAGGTTAGTAATGTTCTTGATTCCTGTCAAGGAAAGATATACTAAACACATTCTGTATTTTGTAGTAGTAGTAATAGATTTGACACAGCAACAGCACAGTCCATTACAGGAGATCAGTATGGCTTGCAAACATTAATCTAGTTTCTAGCATCCTTTGAAGTAAGGAAGTATTACTAATTTCATTTTACAAAGGAACCACCTTTCAACAGACAAAAAATTAAATAGCAGTCTTATGCAATATTACTAACTCATGAAGATAACCGCAGAAATTCTAGACCTATTCTGGTAAAGGACAAAAAAAAAATCTTTCTTTGAAGCATAAGAAAAGCTCACCCCAGAGGGGAAAAAAGAAAGGTTCTTTTCTGAGTGGAGCACAGTCAGTTAAGCATTTTACTGCATAAACTCATGAACCTCATCATCTCTATATTACATGGTATTTTTAATATTAATTTAAACAGTAGAACTGTAAACTTTAAACTTCAGGCCAATAAATGAACAGACCAATCTATTAAACTAATTTAATTACAGTATAACCATATAAATCTGGCATGAACGGGACTGAGCACCTGCCAGAAATTTGAACATTCCGGATTTTTGAAACTAGAGCAGTGACCAATTGTGAAGCAGCGGGGGAGGAGGTCCAGCAGCCAGTCCCAGAGCAGCGGCCGCAGGCAGAGCAGCAGTGTGGGGTGGTGGATGGCGGCAGTAGCCACTGTGTGCAAGCTTCGTCCTCTGCGTCTGGGGGAGTGGAGTGGGGAGCTTAAAAAGTGCCAGATTTTCGAGAATTCCCAATTTTTGATATCTGGATTTATGAGGTTATACTGTATATAAAACTTTTAGATTGTCAGAATGAGCTACTTAACTACTAGATAATTTAATTAAGTTAATTTAGTGCTTAGAAATAGTCATCTTTGGCAATTCAAGGAGACCAGAGTTCTGAGTTTTCCCCCAAACCACAACCTTTTACAACAGGCTATCAACATACTTCAGGGTTGACCTGGGAAAGTCACCTCTGCAATGAATATGGTTCAGTCTTTCTGACCCATTCAGTCTTACACTCTACTCCTTACTGCTAACAAGGTTTTCAATTGTGGTGGCCATTCAATAAGGACAGGACTTCCAAATCTCTTCTAGCACAATGCAAGATAACCTAACACAATGCTCAATCATTAGTGAGATCTAAGGAGATATAAAAATAGAGGTGCATCGATACATTGGTCCCATACTAGATTGTCAACACAGTCGATTTTCATTATATTGGTGCCAATTGGCTTTTTTTGGTGGATGCGGCTGATAATGCCACTGATAAACGTCCCATGCATGCGCACAGCCACAGCTTAGCATGCAGGCAGCCAGGAGTGCAGCCCCGCAACATGGAGAGCAGAAGGGTCCAGCTGGTAAGTCTGCTGTGATGGAAGGGGGCTTGAGGGCAGTAGATCAAGGCCCCAGCTATGAGGGAGGAAATGGGGCTGGGGCTGCACAGCACAGGGTGCAGGATGGAACCGCAAGTGGCTCACCCAGGGTCCAAAGAGCAGGGCTGCTCCTGCCACTCTGCAGACCCCAGGAGAACATGGGGGGGGGTGTGCCCCAGGATTCATGTGAGGGGAGAGGGTGGGCTGCCTCTGCAGGCTAGAGCCAGCACCAGTGGGGTGGTTGGGTCAGGCTGCACTCAGGGCAGGTGGCGCTGCGAGGGAGGGTCGGGAGGGGGGGCTACAGCAAATTTTGGGGTGGTTCAGGTCCCCCGTATCCCCCTCCCAGAGCTGCCACTGTCCACCCCAAGCACAGTCCAGCCCAGCCCCTGCAAAGAAGACCTCAGCGCTGCCCCGAACTCAGCCCACAGCAACAGCCCGCCCTCGCACCACACGCAGATCTAGAAGCACGTGGTTCTGATCTTCTGCAACATTCCCCTGTGGGCTTGCATCTGGTTTCCAGCAGCTACAATGCAGAAAGGATCTCTTCCCTACTATCCCCTGAACAGTGTATACAGATCTATACTATCCTATTCTTCCTAGGCACCCTATCATAAAAAGACGACATTTTCCATCTATTATACAAAAGAAGAATTTTTCATAATCACATATAATTCTCTTATTACAGCTTTACCCAAGCTGCAGGAACATGAAGCAGACGCGACTCGGCAGACCCAAAAAGGTACTCAAGAGCAAGTTTTACTGATCAGAATTCAATTTCACTTTAGTTCTGTTGCCATATGCTCCTATCTCCAGAGCAAGAACGCTCCAGATCTGCATGCAGAGGATGCTTGTTCTTTAAAATGACACAGGGCAGGGCTTTTTTGGTAAGGTTTCTGCAGAAATTTCTGTACTTTTGCAGAAATAAATGGCTTACCTTCCCATGTGACAGAGGGGAAAAAAACCTGATTTCATTCATTGGATTTCTCAAACCAGATGCCAGGTTTGCATTTTAGGCACAGGCAAAAAAGGGTGAGAAAGCAGACCCATAATCGAGAGCTGTGAACTATGATCCTGTTATAAGTTTCTCAGCTTCTTCCTACCACGGTCTGGATTAGTGGCGTGCAAACCCGCCTCTGAAGTTACAGCTAATGCCAGCTTCGTTGTTTCAACGGCGCTGCATGAAGTGCAACTCAAGGGTGATCCCAGCCCTCAGCAATGCAACGTGTTACGCCACCACACCCGCCTCACACGAGTCCCCTGGTAAGAGCGCTCGGAGTTGCAAGAGACCCGTGGCCTCCAGCAGAACCGGGCCGGTCTCTCCGCACGCTCAGAGCCAGGCAGAGGCCCAGCCGCTCGGGAGCAACCCCAACCCCACTCCCAATCCCACCCCCACCCCGGGGCCTCCCAGGCCTCTCCAGGGCTCCTTCCCACCCGCCCCGGATGCCACCACCTCACCAAAGCCTTTGATGAGCTCCGTGAAGACGCCCGGGTCGCTCTCCATGAGGCACCACTCCCCGGCGCTGCCCCCGCCCGCCATGGCGCCGGCTCGCCAGGCGGCTGCCGCTACCAGCCGGCTAAGCGGCGATGCCCACGCACGCCGCCGCTTTCCCAGCAGGCTCTGCGGCCCGCGCGGACCCTGTCATCTCTATGGTGAGGAAGGTGCGCTCGGGCCAACCGGAAACGGGAACCAGCTTCACATCCGGAGTACTCGTGGCGGTTACCATAGTAACGGCCGCCTTCTCCTCCCCTGTTCGGAAAACCTCCATCCGGGTACTGGGTCGCTGCTGGCCCAGGCTGAAAGTGGGAGAGAAGTGTATCCGGGGCACGGGACTCCACCCGGGTGCGGGGAGGAGCTCTATCCGGGGACTGCGGCGGCTGTCAGGGAGCGGCCGAGCCTGAGCGAAGTACAAGGAGAAGCGAGAGCCCGAATCGGCGGC